ACATCCATGTAAACTTTCGTATTTGTAATATAAGTAAAAAAAATCGTAAGTACGAAGTTGTAAAGTTTCAACTTAGATTATCGCCATCTTGATAAAACCTTAAAAAACAAGGGCTCACCGAATCGTTAGCCTAGATTAGGCGATTTTATTTGCGGTAATTTAGCATAATGCGGATTGTCAGGCAAGGTTACTCGGTAGTTAGAAGACGATAGTGATATATCGAGGTCAGGGATGTGACCAGCCGCGCCCTTCCCCTTCCCGTCCACACCATGGTCACGGTAATCCCCCTATTATGTTTAATTAACATCCGCTGCAATAACCTAATTAATTGGATAACGAATTACCATTTCATAAAGCATTTGTATGCAACAATTTTAATGATTAAATATATGTAGTTCATAAATTAGAGTTTATACTAATGGGGCTTTGTTTTCTATTTACCGAAATTCTTAGCACATTAGAAACACTAGAAAGTTTAATAAGCTGCTTATACAAGCTTATATATCAGGATCTCGATAATGCATAGAGCATGCAGTTAAAGTAAACATGATGTTCCACTAATTCGTCGACTAAACACTGGTGAATAAACGCCGAAACTGCGGGATAAACTTTGTCCGTACTGTAATCAAAAAAGTTTTCAAGCTAGACCGTATCAAATGAACCTAACGTATGAAAGCAGTCATTTGTAAGGTCTTTGATCGAACTGACCAAATTCAACTTACGTGTAATTTGAAAATGTCTACGAGGACGGGTACTTAAATATTTTGTGACATAGTCGATAAATCACAAAGTTTTAATTCTAAATTAAATATTACCTGATAAGACAAGATAAAATACATTTCTAGAAAGGATTTATTGAAACAACAATAAAGTTATTTTAAGCATAAAATACGAAAGAATTGAGATAACGAAATTGTTCTAAACTTTCTCCGATGTTTCTGTTTGTTTTCATTCGACCAAGAAATTTGAATGCATTTCCATCCCATTTTATTCATTGTTTGACAAATATTATCAAAGAACAAGAGTTTTCTAAGTATTGCTTTATTTGAGCGGGTGACCATTTTTCAACAAAATACCGTTTACCTTTTGTTTTCAGATTATATTTCACGATTCTCCGACTATTTTTGAGAGGGCTCATAATGTTCTTTATTTAAAGTTAAGGTATTAGTGGTCAGCGTTTAGTAAAATAAAGGTAGTTGGTAATAACCTATAAAGATAAATAAAAAGATTGAATTAATCAAATGTCTATTACGTGGGTGTAAAAGGTTACCATCACGCCCTCTCAGTTCTAAATTGCATTTAATTAACGCTAGGCCTACACAAGATTTTATGTGAAAGGTTAACTCAATTACGATCACCCTGTGTTAAATAAATTTATCATTATTTTTGGAGTATTAATTTCGATAAGTAATTTCTTTGAATATTTGTCTACCATAAGCATAACATTTTCATGGTCTTTTCAAAAACTCTTCAAGGCCTATTGAAATATATTATCAAAATTTCAACAACCAAAGGATTACATTTTATAAATAATTTAAATATGATTTTAAGAAATAAGTCAAAAGAAATATAACTTTTTATTAATGAAATTCGTTTATTTAGCAACGGAAGTTTTCATCAGAATGTTTATAAATGTAGGAAAATAACTGCTTAGTTTGGAAACTTATAGAGTCGGTATATTCGTTTAATTTAAGCCAATACGTTTATTCGATGATTCAGTTTCCATTCATTAACCGCAAAGGGGTTACGTAATATGAATATTCATTCAGGGATACTCCAAGCTACAATCATACAAACGATCAGTATTTTTCCTTCGTATTCTACGCTATTTTATTTTAACAATATTAAATTCAGTTTGAGTAATATCAGGTAACATAGAGCAGTCTTTTTTATTTTTACATTTATCTCAAAATCACTTACCATAATATTACTATCTATCTCAATAAGATTTATATAACGAATTACGTAAATTATTTAGCGACTGATATTTTTATTTGTTGGGAAATCTATGGTGCATATTTTGTAATATATATCATTCTTGATTCTTATCTAAAATTGAAACTTATGTTTATTTTTATTATTTGTTCGATAGGGTTTTTAAACTATTTTGATTACTTAGTTGTTTCTGTTATCTGTGAGTATTCAAACATATTATAAGTAGTAATTCCTTTACATTCTTATTGTTTTAAAGAAAAGAAGAAAAAGAAGTCTTTTATCTTATCTTTCATTAACAACAAGATACAAAGATTAGTTTGATCACATCACACTAAATGTATTTTCTTCCACTTTTTTTCATATAAACGGCGCATATTAAAGTGTATTTAGTCGACATATGATGCACAAGTTCTGATCGGCATTGTACTTGTTTAACAAATAGAATAGGCTGATTGTGGGGCGCGGCCGGTTCACACGACGCGCAGGATCTGGGCTCTATTTGCCGCCTCTGCTGATGCGTGGCGCCGCGCCCGTCTGCACGGGCCTTGGGGATTATAAATACGTGCTTCTCTTTATTTTACATAGCTGTCGCCCGCGCCTTTGACCACGCGGAATTAAAAAAAAACATAATTAGTAGCCTATGTGTTATTCCAGACTTTGTTCTATATGTATACCAAATTTCATCGAGATCCGTTCAGCCGTTCTGGAGATACCAAACAAACGTCCATCCAAACATTCGCATTTATAATATTAGTAACATGTCGATTTTATAAAAGAATCACGCCTATTACGTTTTCTATAAAAAATAGCACTTAAGCTAATTTTTATATTATTTTACCATAATTTCCTACCTATGTTGAACTATAATATGTACTTGTAATCTTTGACAAATATATTCTAAATGCTTTTTACATAAATAATATTATTAACTACGATGAGTTGCATCTGCAATTTATAAAAGTATTCATAAAATTACTGACGTAAATATCAAATAATAACTGTTTAGACTCGAAGCCGGTTATCGCTTAATTACATACTTAATACATAATGATTTTATAACGTGAATTTGCAATTATTAACATAATTTGTTTCCCTCATTGACGCATAAATGTAAGAACAAGTAATCAATTATACATTATGTAGGATAACTGTCGATCATATTCATAATATAGAGAAGGTATTAAGGTCAAAGACTATATAACTAGAGATTGATAACAGTAGTGTAGACTCACACAACAGTTTGAATAAGTCTCCAGGTAAAGCACCACAGTAACTATAGTTGTTTTTACAATGGTCAATTAATGGCAACTAAATGAATCTGTAACCAATCACAAAGGTATATAATCAGCTATAGATAAAAAACACGACATTTATCTTTATGTAGATCATTGTACCGGAATTCAGGCAAAAAGTCGTGTTCACCCTCTTTTAATCGACCATCGAACGACAAAGGTCAATACAAAGGTCAGTACTAATGTGTAATTTCTATAAGGCACATCGTGAACGTAAAAAGTCGATACGCGGCCTTCGCTAACTCCGTGGACAGTTTCGTAAATACGTGCCCAGTGTTGTGATGTCCCGACCATGCTTCAAGTTTTCTGCCTCCAAAATACGAAACCGCTTATTTTAGTTCTGACTTTGGGCCAATTCAATTCGTAGGCCAACAGATGTGATCGCCAACTGGCAAGACATTTAAGCTTTCGACACCACGTAATATTGATTTTGTGTCTCTCTTAATTACTTGAGATGATGACTTTTTTTTTATCATTTACTTCATATTGGTACTAAATTCGATCATAGTTCTGAAAAGTCGTCTACTATTGAAACTAACTGTTTGTATAAATCTGTAAGGGATCTAAAATCATTGCATTCAAAGTAAATAAAAAACTCTAATTATTAAATTATTTTCTGATGAAATAAGAACTACGACATACATCGACACTGTGATATATTATGTTGTTGGCAGTTACATTTACGTTTTCATTGAACCGTGACGGAGACGAGCTTTTAAATTTAAGTAATCTGATCGTCCGTTTCCTGCGTCTCCGATTCGTGACGCTCGAATGAACAATGGAAACATACACTAAATGGATGTTTGTATTCCAACCGCCGTAGAGCAGTCGGAAATGTTAGACAGGCGTTTATAGTTAATAGAAAAGGCACACTTTCTCTCCAATTATTCGTAGTTCGTTAATTCAATATTGGTATAACACCGTTGTGAAGTGACGTACGCTCGCAAATGACCCACATCCTTCACCTTCAACCGACACCTATGTTTCCTTATCATTACGTAGAGGATGCAATTTAAACTTGCCATTGGATTTCAAACCCAATGGACTATGCCTTTGTTATGAAAATAGCGTGTACTGGTTTTTTAGCGAGTTATAAATATTTTTGACACGTAGTTAGCTTTACAGTTGCAGTTGTTTTACATTTTTTACTGTGTGTAGCAAATAAGGATAAAGTAGAAGTGCTAAATACATTTAAATTTTTATTTATTGTATTAAGATATATCGATCATTATGTTTGTAATAGAAAATAATAAAAGCAGAAAACCACCAACAACATTTACTATTTTTATAAGAGTATATCGAATATTTAAATATATATATTTTAAATATTCAATAAATGTCTTACGTAAAAATCGCAAATTAATTTGTGTATTTTATTTAAATTATTATGATTATTACCTTGACGCTCTTTTTAATCGGATATTTTTAACAATTTGAATAGGTTTCCTATTTTAATAATTCTGTAGGATCTAGAATATCTATTTTTAAAAATATACATAATTAATGTCTTTTACTAAGAAAAAAATATTAAAATAAATTGAGTAGAAATAAAAAACTCTTTTCTCATTATAACCGTGAAGATTTAATTTAAATAGCTCAACTTTAATAGTAGAGCGTTTTAGGTATTGTGTATTTTTATGCTAAACGAAAGTTACAACACATAAACATTGTAAGACGAATAAGGTTCTATTTATCACAACCAAACTGTATATTGTTTCTATTATGGTATTTATTGTAAGTTTTATTATATATATTTGAACGATTAATTTGCAGAGACCGTCATGATAGCGCCGACGTTCAGAGCTCGCTCGACGTCACCAGGTAAACAGAGTGGGAACCCATTCGACGAAAAGAGTTACATCTATTAAAGATGTAACTCTATTCGTTAGATGTGTTAATGTGTTATGTTGTCCCTAACGTTATATAAAAATATGAACATTTATTTGCTACAGTTATTAAAATATTTTTGGAAGGATTATATCGTTTTTGATTATCGAAAAATTTTTAGAAAAAAATATTGCCATCCTTCATATTCTCTTTCAAAGAACAGAGACAACTATATTTTTGTCAAAAAAGTAACGCTAACAAAAATTCAATATAGGTACAGCATTTAAATGTTCAGAAGCGAATGAATATGTCGAACCGTGTAATGGCATAATAAAATACATATTAACATAAGAATGCCACAAAGCGAATCGACCTTGTTATCCTCTGGTACAGTCGTGTCCGATGATATTGTTACAGAGTGTTCTAAATTCCAATTTAATTATAATAAATTCAATAAAGATTCAACTGATTATTCATCCTTATTCGTTAGTAGTATTTGGCATGGATAATTTCCTTTTGTCGTGAAATTTAATTAATAACAATGAGTTTTAATCGTACTAATTGTTTGGTTTTGTTTTTGATGTTTGTTTGAAGGTTTTGCGTGTGTTTTTGTTCATTATACAATTAACCTGAATGCAATTTTTTAAAATAAAAATAGGCTAAACGATTGGTTGTAAGTAAAGTCACTCTTTATATATTTTTCGTAGTGTTATATAAATTTTATTTAACAGCTCTACTTGTAACCTTATAAAACATTAAAATATACAGGGTATAAAGTCTCACGAAACACGTGTTACGTCGACGCCTGCAAAAGGTAAAAGGTTGATCGACAATCGAAACCCAAATTCATCGTAAAAAGAGTAAGCTCGTAAAACGAACGTTAGAACGATCAAGTTACTACCGATTTGACGCCTTTCCTCTGCTTACCAACTTGAACGTTTAATTGGGTAGTTATTTTTTTGTTTTATATGTAACCTAGACATCAACTCGACAATTTGTAAAAAATACTTCAATCTTTTGGAACAAATCATGGATTATTATCTTATCCATAAAATGTTTGTTTCATATTTTTAATCAGGATTATTTTTAAAATAAAATAGCAGATTTTTTTGTAAATTTACTAATATTAAATTTACCATTCCAACTACACTCTAAGCTTGTGCTAGGATATGGTTTACGACAATAGTAGAATGGCGGGATTCGAACCCCCGACCTCGTGATCGGAAATCCGTACCTTTAACCATTAGGCTATTGACGCTGCGTAAAGGATGTCTTACTAATATTGTATGCAAATGTATGGATTTTGTTAGAAGGTATACAGATTCATGTACGGCTGAAAAATCACACTGAAATTTGGCATAGATATAGAACATTGCCTTAAAGAACACATAGGCTAATAAGGTTTTTAAAATTCCGCGTGGACGGACTCTCTGGCGACAAATAGTAGTTTAGGAGATAGATTTAAGTTAAAAAACGTATGTGACCTCGGAACTGTGTGCACATAAATATGACGTCACACTAATCTAAAGATAAAACGATTATCCATGCACTTCCCGTGTTTAGTGAATGAGCTGGAACGGTTTTAGCGATTTCATAATATGAAGCAGGATTATAAATAGTTACCGCCTCTGTTGATCTACTGGGAATAAAACAAGGTTAGAACAAATGATACTGTGAGTTTTCACTGCCGAAACTGTACAAAACATATAGATAGCACATATTGCGAGGAACTTTCTCTTCGATAAAAAATAATATCTTATCTATAAGACAAATGTAAATGCCACTGATTGTTTATACGAAAAATAACATAGTACGCAGTAAATAAAATTATTTAGCGAAAAAAGAATTATACTAGCTTTCTCCCGCGACCCCGACCGTGCGGTATTGAAGAAAAACTTAATTAGTAGCATATGTGTTATTCCAGATTTCCAGTTATTTCTACGTTTAAGCCAAAGTTTATCGTGATCCATATAGCCCTTCTGGTTACCTTCAAATGGCAATCTATCGATTCAAACATTCGAATTTATAATATTAGTAAGATACGCTTAGTTTTATTTTAGGAAAAATGAACATCTGTAGCTTCCTGGATTTTACTACAAAGCTTGTCATTTAAAATATAATAACGTATAATGTTCAATATCATCCTTTATTACCTTTAACAAGGTAAAAAGAACTGGGGCGTGGACAGTACTGGTACACTATATGACACATCCTTTACATGCTTCCGATATTAACTATTATTATATCTTCAAGCGTGAAGGTTTTGTATTACGATCTTCCCTATCTTAGAAAATATTTATAAAACCCTAATACATGTAAAAATCTCTGGTTCATATTTGTATGTCTTTTACGTGTAAAAATTTGGTATAGATTTAGTAAATAGTCTGGAAGAACACTCAGGCTACTTACTACGTTTTTTTAAATTCCGCGCAGACTGAGTCGCGGGCGAAAGCTAGTCTTACTAATATTATAAATGAATAGTTTAGATGGATGGATAGATGTTTGTTTTGAAGGGATTTCCAGAACGGCTGACCGGATGTTGATGAAATTTGGAATACATGTAGAAGATAGTCTGGAAGAATACGTAAGCTACTTATTATGTTTTTTTTTAATTCCGCGCGGACGGAGTCGCAGGCGAAAGCTAGTAACATTATAAATAAGTAAATAAATGCTACACTCTATTTCATCCTTAACCTTGTAAGCCATTCTAAGTAATACATCACAATAGCAGAATAACTATTTGCCGCAGACCTAGTGACATTGTCGTCTTACTTGCCTTGTAATAAATTAAATTCAGTAACACAGCTGTGTAATTAAACATGTAACAAAACTTTACTGCGTAGCATTAATTAAATTTACCCTTGACATATTTGCCTATTTTTCGGCATCGGTAACCGTATTACCGTGGGTTCCTGAGACCTAAATCCCCGTTTAAAACATATTATCTCTGTTTTGAAAAAGATAAAGACAGAAATGACGATATGTTTTAAAGATTATAGTCTCGGAAACCAACGGTAAGAAATCTTTTAATTCTGTTAACTGTTTTGTAAGTCATAGTATACGGTTGCCAGAATGTTAAACACGTAAAATCAGGGTTACGCAGTCGTCTCATCTCAAGGTGGTCGATGTTATCGTTTCCGTTGACGACTCATATTATCACGTAACGTTTATCTTAACATTAATTTCCTAAACGTTCGTTATAGTTTTAATTAAAAGCAAAATAAAACTTTAAATAACGTATAGACATTTTATGTGGAGGGATGTTCACATAAATCAAAAAGTGTGTCATAAAAAAATTTGAATATGGAATGTTGTAGCCACCAAAGTTAGAGGAAAACCGAAGATAGAATGGATGGATTGTGTGAAAGAGGACATGGGTAAGAAGAGAGTGAATTCAAATATGATAGAACCTCTGTAGGGACAAGGGCAAGTTCATAACTTTTTCAATGTCGCTTATATCAAATCGTATAAAATGGTTAGTCTAAAAACCAATAATTTTTTAAACAATAGCTAGGAAACTTATGCCAATGAAACATAATTTGTGTCTTTAATGTCATACTGCAACTAACGAAAGACATTGACACGTTTGTGATCAATAATATGTTCTGTTAACACTCAAGAAATTACAGCTCTACAAACAATGTGACATTGTTTGTAGAGCTGTCACAGACGGGCTCTCAATTTATCCCACATTATGTGTATGGAAGCTTTGTTGTGTGAAATATTTCAAAATATATCAAGCAGAGAATTTACTAAGGAAATATATTAAACAGTTCTTTATTTAAGAGGCTTCTAGCTATGGGAATCTAAAGGCTAGGTATATAAATATTTGTTTTCCTGACATAACAAATGTGTATTCATCATTCATAAAAAAAAAACTTTACCATAGTCAACATGAAAGTTATATATACAATAGTCGAGATATCCTAAAAACAAGTGACACAGTAAATTTTCTTTCAGTACTGTAGTATTCAAATTTCAGCACCCATTGTGTTGTGCAAATATTTGCGTGGTTCCCACAAAAAGGATTTGTAGTTTTTTTTTCTTTTTTTGTTCGTCCTCTATTATATAAACAAAGTAAGTAGAAAAGGATTTCGTTACGATTAAAAACATTTTCTTTTAAACCCCTGAGCAAATAATGGGTTGCCAAACGGAAACCTTTCCCATTTATACGAAATCTGTTCTTAGAGGGTGCGTCGTACCCTTTTACCGAACCGCTTAAATTGTCAATTAGCACTTCGGATTCGACGTGATTTTAAATGTAAATCCTTGTAACGTCATGGCCCTCGTCTACTTTAGATTTAAGTTTCACATTAGACCTTTAATTTCATTTATGTATCGTACATTTATCTTCGGCATAATAATAGTTAATTGGTGGAATTATTATTTACTCTGAAATTTTAGAAAAGACTATTAATTATGTTATTTAGGTTATCATGTAAATAAGTTATATTTACAAAGAAACAAAATGATTCCTCTTACCGAATGTCTCGCCTTCAAATATCATATACCGAGGTATTTCCGAATTTACGATGAAGAATATCTGTTTGTCTGTTTGTCTATTAACATGGCTATGGAGTCATAGAACGTTGTTCCTATAACTTGCAGTCAATCGTGCGTTTTGACATTTACAGTTTAGACAACATAATATTTTGAATTATACATTTGGAATAATATTTACGATAATATTATTGATTAACAGACACTGTCAGAAACTTTAGATCAAAAGTTAAATATGCATTATAAATATGTTAAGCGAATATTCACATATTGATAAGACCTTGGCATATCTTAATACTAACATCATGCTACAAATATTAAGTACTTAAAAATTTAATATTTAATATTAGTTCCATGATAAATTAATAATTATACAATTTTTTATACGTCCTTGGAAGTGAAAAAAAATATATGTTATTTTGGATTGATTAATACTTAACGCCCGTGACACCGTCCGCGCGGAATTAAAAAAATAAACATAATATTGTTCTATG